AAAAAAAACCTCCTAAATAGCTCTCCCAAAGCACTGAAGTCCTTCCAGTTTTTCTTAATTCTCCAGGAGTAAAAGGCCCTCTGGTCACTTCTTGAGATTGCTAATTCATTTATTGAAAACAAAAACATGTGCTCTGATCTTGGCAAAAGTCTTGGCAATGACACAACTTATTAAAAAGGGAAAGCTGGGGCCAGTGCTGTGGCACAGTGGATTAACGCCTTGGCCTGCAGTGCTGGCATCCCACATGGGCACTGGATCAAGTCCTGGCTGATCCACTTCCAATCCAGCTCTCTGCTATGGCCTGGGAAAGCAGTGGAAGATGGCCCAAGTCCTTGGACCTCTGTACCCACTTGGGAGACCGGAAAAAGCTCCTGGCTCCTGCCTTCGGATCGGCACAGCTCCGGCCATTGCTGCCAAATGGGGAGTGAACTAGCATATGGAAGACCTCTCTCTGCTTTTCCTTCTCTCTCTGTGTAATTGTGACTTTCATGTAAAATAAATAAATCTTTTAAAAAAGGGGGGGGGGGCTGAAGGTCATGCCAATGACAAGCAGCCTGAAGGCTCTAGGGTTAAGGACAAGGGAGACCAACAACAACAACAAAAAAATCAAGTCTTTTCAGTTGACAGAAACAGTATCTGGGAAAAGAGGAAGAAAGAAGAAAGGATGGAGCAAGGGAGGGGAAGTGGAGAGAAAATGTTGGTGAAAAGAGTAGGAGATGAGGTAAGCAACTGGTAAGATGCTGTTGACTGTAGGAAGAGATAGAGGAAATGAGAATCCTATGGAGTCCCTTTATGAGTCGGGAGAAATAATGCCCTCAGCTCAAGACGACCTTCATCAGTGACCCACAGGGCTCTTCAGGCTCTCTCAGTCTCCCATACTCCTGATGGAAGTGACTTCATGCTGATCCTAGCTGCCAGGTAGTCCAGTCCTAGTCAGTGAAAAACAGCCCTGTACTATAATTTGTTGGCACAGTGATCTCCTCCCTAAACCATGAAATATTTTCAGTGCTGTATATGGGAAAGCAAGGAGATTAAGTATTTGTTAAAGGGTTCCATCATATAGTAGGTTAAACAAACTCTCATGTAGTTAAAGTCATAGCTTTGGTTACCTGTAATATCCACATAAGAGAGTACATCTCCAACAATGTTAGATAAATTAGGTGTTATTGCATTTAAATTCCTAGAAATGTGGAACTTAAATAAAGTTCTGAGTCCCACATTTGGCATTCCAAACCATATGGTATTTGGAAAGATCTGTTCCTCCTGGCATAGCTGAGGTAGAAATTGCCATTCTAATAGTCCTGGAATAACAAAATTTCACGTTTCAAAATTTTGACAAATTTTAGGTGAGAACTGTAACAGTTGCAAGAAGTAGTAAGTCAAAGTTTCCAAAGCCCCCCTCTCTCCTGTACTTGAAAAGTCATGTAAATGTGCTTGGAATGAGGAAAAAGTGTGGAAAGATTACCAGGTTTCTAGGCATTCTCAACAAAGATCATCAAAATTTATTATTGTCATAATTTTTATATTAGTCCCACACCGCAAAAAGGGGTAGAATCATAGAAGATGACAGATCAGATTACATAAAAAACATGTTTGAAATGTGGCTTTCAAAAAACCTTCTGGAATACTGGTAGAAGAAGTTATTTTATTCATAGAAACAGAAGATTCCTCCAGAAGGGAAATGAGGCTAGTAAGGCCTGCCCTTTTGCCATGTGGAATTCGTTAAGAGTTACGTCCATTGATATCAGGCAGTACATCCCAATTCCAAGATCAAACAAAGCCCACGAAACAGACTAGGCCAAAAATATGGAGAGAATTCTTCCTGAAAATTAAAACCACCACGAACACTGCTAGCAATTTAGATATATTTGGATTACACATGTCTTTGGAAAATGTTTAACTCTAAAAAGTTTCCAGAAGGCATTTTATGACCACTGTGAATTACTCATGGGCATTTGTGATGCTAAATGAAGACATGAACTTAGTCACCATTTAGAATGTGCACACAGTCTTGAAGAATGCTCAGCGAGGCATCAGGAACGTGTCTTTGGAGGGCTTGGGAAAGAAAGAATCTGCTGATTCTTTCCAGTGGAGGATGGGCCACAGAAAAATCTTGGCATGTGCAAGAATCCACACTACTTCCTTTCCCTCCCCATACAACACCGGATAAAGGAGAGTTCATCTTAAACCTCACACCGGTTCTTACCAAGATAGTGTTAAATATCAGATTAGCCAGCTCTTAGATCAGGAAGAAAAGGAGCACATACTCTGTTATGAAATGGTTCCAAGCATGAACAAACTATACTTCTCCGAATGAAATTTCCAGAGAGAAAGGAAAAAGGGATCAAATTAGTGTTTATTATATAGTTACGCTTAAGCCACCATGCAAGTTATTCTCCCAAAAATAACCACAGGAGGAGAGGTGATTATTACCAGGCCCATTTTACAGGAAAAGAAATTCAAGTTCAGGAAAAGTAAATGGACTAAAGTCACACCATTACCAAATGACTAAGGCCTGTTGTGAATGCCCATCAGTTTCCCCCTACTCTTCTAAGCTTGCATGTATTACCATAGATGTGTTTCCTTCATCCTGTCTCATCAAAATAGGTGCCTCTTTGTTCCCAAGTTGATCTGTGTGCTTCTGCCTACAGTGTTCTGCCTTCCCATGGGCCTGGGCTGCATTGATGGCTGCTGCTTTGCCTCATTCAACAAACCACCTTCCTTCCATCACATCCTGTGACCTCTGTACACACAGGCTCAACCTCCTATCCTAAAATCCCTTCTTTTACTCTTCTTCTAATGTCTGCCCTATTTCGCTTTTGGTCTATCTCCATTCTTTGTGAAAAGATATTCTACACTCCTGTATTTTACATTGGGTATCACGATCCAGTTCACATCACAATCCCATTTATAGCCTATTACATCACAGCACTGACCATTTTCAACTTCATGATATTCACATCCAGTACCCTCTTTTCAGACCTCACTCTTCCTGAACACTCTGAGCACTTGATTCTCTTAACCAGTTCTCCTGGAAAACTGGCTCCTTTGAACAGGCCTTCCTAACTGTATTCCAAAATCTGTTGGTTCTCTTTCTTTCACTTGCTTCTCCACCTCGACTTATCCCTTAGATATTGGGGTTCTTCTTGTCACCATCCTCCTTGGTTCTTTTAATCTACACTCTGGGCTTCAGCTGACATTAAGACACTGAGTTCCCAGCTAGCAGTCTCCCTTGGCCCCATGACTGTCTTTTAGGGTTGTCTTTCAGAATTTCTCTGATGGCCCCCAAATTCCTCACAAAACATGTCCGAACCAGGCTCATGCGGCCTTTCCTCTCCAGCCTTACCTTTTTCCTTTCCTAGCGGTTGATGCTAACATCTGCCTAGTAGTCAGGGAGTAAGGACCCTCAAATCTGTCTGGCTCTTCCCTGTCTGGACTCAGCATCATATATATCCCTTGAATTTATTCCCTTATCTCCATCTCCACTACCATGCAGCCTCTTATGTCTTCCAGGATAATGCAGCAGACTCCAAAACTTTTTTTCTCGGACTCTAGTCTATCTTGTCATCTAATCCATGTCCCTATTTCCACCAATCTGATCTGCAGAAAACAGGATATCACTGGTATTCCTTATTATAAATTCCCAGTGGCTTCATACAGACTACAGAGTAAGACTCCAATGACCAAACTGGCCATAGCCTACCTTTCGATCTGAGCTTTGAGAACTTTCCTTCACTTGTATGTATTAATTTACCCTGAACTATGATTCTTTGTGTTTTCATGCTTCTGTGGCACAACTTATACTACCACTTTGACTAGAATGTCCTTCGCTCTCTGGTCTGCCTGGTAATCCATTCATCACCCTTCCAGGCCCCATTTTACCCTGTTATTTCCATCTTTCCCCAAACACCCCAGCCTCATCCCTGGAGGGACAAGTGTTCCCACATTTATGTCCCCATACATCTCTTCATTACAGGACTAACTACAGAACTTTACAGAGCCATTATTGGCTCACTGCTCCATAATTAATCCTTCAAAGGCAAAAACTGTCTTAGTCATCTTTGTAGTATCAGGGTCTAATTTAGTGCTCAGAACATTGTTAGATGCTCAATTAATCTGTGTTAAATGAACAAATTAATAGACCTTTTTTCTGTTCACAGTATTCAATTAGGCTGTCACTTCATTACCATAGCAGTATGTGAAAGCACATGTTATAAATCAAGAAACATACAGCAGTTTTAGTTACACACACAGAGTTTAGATTTTTACTGAGCTAGCTTTAAATTCTAACAGCTGTTCCAGTGTAGATAATATATTGCCTATGGTAAGGATAAATATAGCTGATATTCTGTTAACATCATATTTACCCTCAAAAAACACTTATTTGCTAAGCTGAATTTTCTACTGTTCATTGACATCCACTCATCTGCCCCCTCATACCTTCACTTATAACTATCTCTTTCAAAAAGAGTTGTAACTTAACAAATTTGAGTGTATCTATCAATATGTTCTTTCTGTCCATCTATCACTATTCTTCCCATTTAAAGTAGTTAATAAACTTGGCAGGGGAATATATCCAATGCTATTAAACTGAATAATGTAAATTCTATATTATCTCTTGAGAGTTACATTACACATTATTTCTATTGTCTATCAAATGGTTTCCTAACTACCATTTTTTAAAATGCAGCAAACTAACACAGTATTTGGTTCCCTAATATTTTCCAGAATATATTAGGAATTAAATAATACAATAAAAAGTAAACTCTAAACCTGAGTATTCCATACCACTAACATTTATCTTTCTATTCACTATTTTTCTTCTGAAATCTCAAGGGAAACAAGCCACTTTTATGAGACAGCAAAGACCATGCAACAATGCACCTGTGGTAACATTAAAGATGCATCCAAAGTGTTCCCTTCCTGTGCTCTATGAAGGAGAGAGGTCTGACTTTAGGGTTCACTCCTGAGAATTCACTGTGAGCAGCAGGTAGACTTACCTGGTGAGTTCTGGGGAGATGACACTGGGGAGCCGCGGGGAGACTGACAGTAGCTGGGGTGGAGTAAGGCGTGTGGAGGCACATACGACATTATCTCTTCTTCAAATAAACTGTGGGAAGACAACAAACAAAATGTCTTAGCCAAAGAGGCACCTGCTTCCTTTCTCCCATAGGTAATCCTTGGCACAGAACAGCTGGCTGTTATAACTTTGGTAAAACCTACAGTTATTTTCCTTTTTCACTACTAACTTTGGACACTATGATCTCTATTTTACCATTTTAATATATGGGTTTCAGTGTATATGTTTGTTTGAGAACAGTACCTGAGGTTTTAGATTTGGAAATAAGGTTCAAACACAATAGAAAATGTTGATTGAGAACCCATGATACATATACAAAGTATCTCCATTCCAAGGACTATTTGTCGAGGTCTCAGCCTTCAAAGAACTCCGGATTTAATTGGAGAATGAAGAGTAAAGTAAAATAAAACATCTCCCAAATAATTACAACTGCTAAATAATTAGCTCCCTTGTTTACTCTGGCATTCTATTTTTTTTTAGATGTGAAGATTTTGATTTTAGATTATTCAATTGATCTTTTCTCTTGCATATCAATATTTTGGCCTCTAATACACTCCTAAAAGATAATAAAGAGAGACCTGAGATTTTGGAATCCTAAATGTTTCATTAAATATCATAGTAAAGAAAATCACTGCTGATAGGACTAAGCTAAAACAAATAATCTTGCCCAAAGAGCAGAAATATATTTATTTTTCCTCAAATTTATTCAAACCTAAAAACTTGTTACATTTTTAGAAAACATTCAGTAGAAATCACTACAGTTTAATCCTGCCAAGATTTAAGAAAAGACGATTCTCAACCAAGCTAATGGCTGAGCACAGTTTTGGTTGTTTTAACAGAGGGAGGGTGTGCTACTGGCATCTGGTGGGTAAAAGTCAGGAGCTGCTGGACATCCTTTAATACAAAGGATAATTCCCTGAAAAGAAGAAGCAGCAGGGAGGAAGAACAGAACTCATCTATCCCCAAGTGTCATTACTACTAGAGTTGAGAAACCTTCAGATACAGCAGTGAAATAACAACCTGGTAATTCTTCCTCTGGTTCTTCATCCACATGTACACCCCTGCAAGACCACTGCAGCAAAAACATTCTACATGATTTGAAGCTACCATTGTACCTTTAGACTATAAGTCAAAGTCACTTAAACAGCAGTGGTAAATAATCTTACCTCTAATACAAAATTAAGCCCTGAAAAATCTAGCACTCTTTTTCAATAAATCAATAACTATCAGAATAACAAATTTAAAATTAGTTGCTAAGCGAAAGTCTCATGGAATAGTTGATACCCCAAAGATATAGTAACCTATAGCTTAATTTGTTAACAAGTAGGAAGCAGCACTCCTCAGACATCTACACTTCTGTTCATAACATTTATTCTTTAATATATATAAATATAACCAATAATCAGAAATCATGTATATCAAAAGATAAATTTCTTTACATAAAAAGTTTAATACATAAAAGAGAGACTATAAGACACTTGATGTACATCACCTAGGATTAATAAATATTAATTACCATTTTTTCATAAATAAATAGATACATAAATAGATCTGCATATATCTGACTCCATATATCTATGTAAGTGTGGATGTCATCCATATGTATATATGAAGTCCCTTTTATTCTCCTCTCTCATGATTTAACAGGTATACTTCCTTCCATAAATTTATATTTTATAACATATGTGTACAGATAAATAATATATAGTGTTTATAGGTTGTTAAAAATCACATAAATGTTATGTAAGCATACTCATATGCTTGAGATTGTTTCTATTCAATAATACAGTTCTGATGTCTAAGCAGATACATAAGGAAATAATTTATTCCTTTCACCTGCTTTATAGTAGACCATTCTATGAACATATACTTTAGTTATCCACACCTCTTTTGAGAAATATTTACTTGGTACAATGAACATATTTTAGGTCAACTTTTGTACATGTAAAAATAATTTCCTTGTATAAATAAAGTATATATATATAAAAGTAGATCTGCCTAGTCACTATTATTTAAATGCCGTTTCAACTATACGTGGTAGCGTCAATTTGTACTCCAAAGATGTAGAAAATATAATCCCACAAAGTACAGACCATATTACGGCTCCTCTATCTCATTTGGTATTATCAGGCTTTTTGATTTTTACCAAATAGTGTGAAACAATGTCTCATTATTTTAAATTGTTTTTTCTTATTTATAGCATGTTTCCTTGAATTTAATGGCTAGTCATATTTCAAGGTTTATGAAATGCCCTTGAAATCCTTTATCTACTTTTCCTTTTAGGCTATCTTAATTTGAAGGTATTCTTTATGTATTCATGACATTTTTATTTTATGTATTGTGAATATACCCTTCCAGTTTATTACTTTTCTTTATGCTTTTATTTGTAGTATCTTCCACTATAATAATTTTAAATAGTCATTTCCTATATAACATAGAAAATTTTTCACTTAAATTAGTGACAATCAAGTCCATTTATACCAGAAGTAATTTATTTTTACAGAAATAGACAAAATATAGAAAAGACAAACAGTCTTTTGCTACATATATAACAAGTACCCTGTTTGAGTTTATATTCACCAATTCAAATTACTCTAACACAAAGGAGAATAAAATATAAAGAACTGATGATATGATTAAAATCCAACATTTTCAATAATCCTTAAATATTTTATTAAGCTTTCATATGTAATACATTGGTTTTTGTGTACTATTACTAAAATAATAAACACATTTTGATCAGAGGAAGTAAAAGTCTAGAAATGCTAATGATTACAGAACTATTATCCACACATTAAGTTTTTATACTTCTCCAAAGTCTCCTTAGCTTCCAAGTACATAGTTATTTTACCAAACAAGGGGAAATGCAGTCTTATTCTTTATATATGAATGAGTTTTCAAATACACAACCACATAACACATCTGCAACAGGTCCTGTTCATAGTCTAGTGAAGTTTCTACAGAGAGTGATTACATTCTTTTGAATTATACTTCAATTACATGGTAAAGGATAATAACTTTCTGGTAAAAATCAAGGGGGTAGTCAGAAATATGGGAATAGATACAGTAACTATCAAGTGGAGAGTTAGAAACGGTTAGGGTCAAGCTCATTATGAAAAACAGAAATCAGGTTGTTAGCACTTAGGGATAAATAAAACATTATTTGAATAGTTCAGCATACCATTCCTTTCAACTCTATGGAGGTTATGGAGTAGGTATCTCTCAATTACTGGGTACAGCAAAGCATTACTTTTATTTGGCTTGCTTACATTTTAGGGGTAATACTAAAACTAAGAAAGACTTTTCAAAGCTAAAGTTTTCCCTCTACACTACTCTAAAATTTAAAACCAAAGCTAGTCTAACATCAAGGGAAAAAATAAAATTTTTCAGTTTTATGAAGGACTATCAAGATGGCATGAGTACCAGTGATCAAATTTCAACTTTCTGATCTGATTTCCCAAACCCAAACTCTAAAAACAAAGAAATGTCTTGCATCAAAAATAGGAACAAAGCACATTTTGAGGAAAAATATTTGAAAGAAAATATAGAATGATTTCCCTTCTACACTGAAGGGTAAACTATGTGTACTATATTTAGATACCTTCTGTTCCATTCTCTGAGTGTGTCAATTCATTCATTAGTCTGTACAACTTTTCTTTCACCAACACTTCCTTTACCAGCAAAGTAAAAATAGAATTAAACAGATTTCAAGAATAACAAACACAATCTGAAACAAACTATCACTAAGTCAGCATCCTAAATCTTCAACATGAATATGTCTTTAAGAATAAAGGAAAGACATTTTTAGGTTACCTATTGCCATTAACACTCCATAATACCCAATGACAGGAGACTTTATATTGTAAGACTGTTGTCCCATACCTGAGCAACATGACAAGGTCTGCATCACTTGAGAGACGCACCAACCCTGGGGTCCCTTCAGTTCGGATAAACTGGATCTTCTCCCTATTCAAGCAAAGAAATAGCTCAGAATATATGTGGTAGGCTTTTGGGACATAACTCTGTGGTAAAACTGATTTTATAATGGTAATTTTTTTGTTATTTATTAATTGGCACTTATTGTGTAATACCCTAGGAACATACGTCCAAGAGACTTGGTCCCTGCCTTGAAGAATGACCTTGTGTGTTTCAAGATCTCCCAATTATAACACTGGGGAAAATAGATAATTTTAGTACTGTGATTATTTTGTTCCCTGAGTACTACAAGAAGTAGTAATACCATTCAACCATAAAACCAGTCCCTGCTTTGAGTTAAAGCTGGTTGTGGGTCTGAATTAAGCTGTGGTCATAGGATGATCCATCCTCTTCCAAAAAATAGTCAGGTTCACCCCTCACTGTTCCAAAAAGGGGTTGCATGGGTATATTTATCTGTTTTCCTAATGGTGTATCTTTAAGTCATATGTGATGAGTGCATTACTACTTTGAAGCAAATATGCATTATAACAAGTATATTCAATATAAGTGTATATAGCTTTTAAAATAAGCGAAAAACTCAAATACTTTTGGCTACTACAGTTGCTGAAGTAGATTGTGTGTAGACCTGTGGAAATGTATAAGTATATACATGTGCATATATATAAACACAATGTTACTTCTACTATTATGACACTCATTTTTCTTTTTGTTTTATGAGTCACTGTCATCTTACTATTTTCAATGAATTATATAAATATCATTTCCATAAAAATTCCCCAGCTGTTTCCTCTTATTTACATCATGCTATGTCAAAGCAGGGCTATCAATTTTTATAAGACGAGGAAAAATCTACAGTACTGAAACCATTTCATTTGATTGAAACAGAAAGGCCAAAGCAAATATGCAAGTTTATTCTGAGTGCTAAGGAGACAATAATCAAATTACTGAACTCTGAAGTAAATACCAACCTCTAATGTAAATATGTATTCAGATTTAGTTCTTATCTATAGAGCATTTTACTTTTCCATTTGCTGTTTTTCATCGATTCCCACTGCATTTTATATTTCTAAAATCTGAATTTTCTTAAGGTTACTTACTGGTCTGAAAGCAAGGAGGTAGAAGGCAAAGTTTAATTGTTCAGATGAAAACTTCCCTAATGTATAGAAAACTCAATTAATTTGCCCTTAACTATACATTATACAATGCATGATAAACATTTTAGTCTTTATTTTCTCCTAGCTAGTATCAGTTTGCATAATATTTTTGCATATTTCAGCTTGAAGGCTTGAACCAGGCCAAATATTTTCTTCCAAGTGTTAGAATCCTATGCCTGAGGCACATGATAGAAAACAAGGCCCATTATCTGGAGAATTTTTTTTTGATAAGAGATTGAAATGTTGAAATTAAGACACAAAATTATCTTGGAGAGAAATGAACTGAACCAAAAAGTACTCTTACAAGGGTCAATAAAAATATGCTTTGAGCTTGAAGAATCAAAAGCTATCTCCAACAAATAGGCAGTTTATTTTCTCAGTCTACATCTCGATGAATCCCGGCAAGTAGAACAAAACCCACAGACAGGCTGAGCACCCTCCCATCTCCCTTTACTAGAGCTAAACACAATGGGTTGAACGATGGTAACGATATTATGCTCTGGACAGTGGCTTTTAGGCTTCCTGTGAATAAGAAAACCATCATAGCTCCCTGAGTCACAAGGATGACAGAGTGAGGAAAGGAAAGCGAGAAGGCGCCAGAGGAAGTATGCCAACTGGGAAACTTTTCATCACTTTTCAGATACTAGCAACTAGGCAGTGAAAGCAACTGATCTTATTTTTCATGCAAGAACATACCAGAAGGCAGGCGGAGACTAGTTTTCTACCAGGCCAGTTAATATATCACAATGACAAGCTATGGGTCATATGCTTCCAGAAACCACACTGGAACATGTTATCTGATGTACCTCACGCTACAGGTACTTTCTTATACCACTGTTCGCTCATTCATCAGCACACATTTTCTGAGTCCTCACTTAAGTGCTGGACGTGGGACCACACACTGGGAATCCATCAGAGAGTAAAACAAAATCCCTAGTCAAGAAGCATGTGGTGCAGTGGACGAGAATGGCAACTGGCAATTCTAGTACTATGTGAAAATATTAACCTGTCTGTTCATTTAACTGAACTCTATTTACCCTTTATACCCGCTCCTCTGGTCATTTAAATGTGTCATATAGAAACAAAGAAGGCATTCCTTTATCAACTGTCACAGAGCAGATCAAGGCTGAGGAAGAGAGAAAAGTCACTAGACATCTGAAGTGTCACCAATCTTTTCTGAGAAAATAAAAAAAGGAACCCCTTGTTGTTATTAGGTGTTTACCCAATATTTTGTAGACCAGTGTTTCTCAACCTGGTGTCCTTGTCTAACAGTAATCTGCAGACATAATCTCAAATTCTGCAAGAAGCTTTTGTGTTTTCATGTTGATGTTCAAAAAGACTAAAATGAGATAAGTGTATTTAGTTTTTACTTACTTTGTATATTTTTTCATTCTATAGTTCACAAAAGCTGTTAACATAAGTGCATTCCTTTTGAAATACAAGTTTCCTGATGGCAGAAATCCTTACTCCTTTATCTTTGTGCTCCTCAACTACCAAGTAGTGCATGGTACTGTGCACACAATAAGTGCTTCCTAAAACGCAAGTCAGGCACCTGACCAACTAATGCCAAAATAACAGGTTTGGCTCCTAAAAATTTCCCTTAGTGGTATTTGGAATAAACAGCCTTGCTACCATTTTTTGCTGAAGCCAAAAAAAAAAAAAAAAAAAAAAAAAAATCCAGAAGCTGGTGTCAGATTATATACTAAAACAGAATCTACTATTAAGGGAAACCCAGAGAAGGCACAGAAGCATTCCCTTGGTGAGAAAACTCCCAACTGATAAAACAAGATGCTAATCTGCATAGTGATGACCTCAGGAAAGTCTCCCAGGACTCTCACAAATCTAGGCCTCTGTAGCCACTTCCCCCATCACCTCCACCTCCCTCTGGAAGATCAGCTCTGGCAGAAGATCATTTGAGGACAATAAACAAAGTCTCAAGGTTGGAATTCCCACAGAAACCGACCAACATTTTGGCGCAGTTAAAGAGGAGCACGGGTTCAGAAACAATCAGAAGCAGTTTTGCTCTAAACCGCAAAACACTGGATTGCAGACCAGGGTTTCTGCAGACACAGTTCAGTGACACATTCACAAATACTTAGGTTTCTAAAAACGCCTGAGGGAAGTTTTAGAGAAGTACTCCTGACTTCCCTAACAGTAAAATGTCAAGAAAAGAAAATTAGCATTGACCATTCATACTGATTATTACAGTCAGAAGACACTGGCTGACTTGATGGACAGAACCAAAAAGTAGAAAGTTTTTTCTTTCATTTCCCACTATATAGCTTACATTTGAAAATTCAAGTCCATTGCGATCATGTGATTCTTATAGATACCTAGAAGTGAAATGAACTACCCACATGACTAGGGGCAAAATTTGTCATAAATGGATGTAAAGTATCCCCTTGCTAGGAACTTAGAGAATTACTTAATTCTCTTAGGTTGTTTCCTCATCTTAAAATCAGCATAATTACAGAAGGTAAAGAAAATACCTAGCCTGGAGCCTGTATAGTAAGCACACAAAAATTTTAAACTACTGAGAATATTATTAGAAATGCCTCCTAATTCTGTATTCATTCTTCAACAATCAGCATAACTACTGAAAAGAAAGCCAAACTAGATTTCTGGTGACCCAAATCCTTTTGCTGTTTTCTGTTGTTAGCAAATTGTTCTAATCATGTTGTTCATCTTAGCTTATTTCATGAATATTTACTGAGTATTTCTATGATCTATAATAACCTTTCTATAAAATGGAAGCAATGTTGTATCAAAGAGATAATACATATGAACGGTCTACATGTCTCATAATTCAGTGGATAATGGGAAACATTATTCCCAAATGAAATAAAGTTCTACATTCATAAATAGCCCTCCCTTATCTACATTTTTTGCTTCCATGATTTCAATTCCCCATGGTCAACCATAGTCTGAAATTATTAAGTGGAAATTTCTAGAAATAAATAATTCATGTTTTAAGTAACTTTTACTATCATATATCGTTATAATTGTTCTATTTTACTATTAATCATTGTTGTTAATCTCTTACAGACCTAATTTGTAAATTAAACTTTACCATGGGTGAATATACACATAGGAAATACATAGCATATATAGGGTTTGGTGCTACATATGATTTCGGGCATCCACCGGGGATTTTGGAACATATCCTCTGTGGAGGAGGAAGCACTACTGGGAAACAAAACCATTTCGTATTCCATAAGAGGAATTCACACAAAAGCATCTACCATTCTCACAGTTGGAACCCAAAGTCCATTATTCTAAAGAATTAAGACCTAGGAATATACTGGAATGCTAACCTACAGAGTGATGGTCACATTTTCTTATGAATTATGATAATTTTTTCTGAATTTGGTAACAAGAATTTCAATTTTAAACATACTCAGGACTTTAAAATATATTATGTTATTATTTTATTCTTAAAAATACATACACAAAAACACAAAATATACATACCAAAAAACCCACAAAAATTAGTTACTATGAAACACTTGGAATGGGAAAACCAGCTGCATAGCTCATAAAAGGATTATTGGGATAAGGTAGTATTTTCCAAACAGTAACATAAACATCAAGGCAAAGGAAAAAATAACTTGAAGTACCAATCTCTGGAAAATAATACTAAAAAAAAAAAAACCTGGTAGTTGCTTATATTTTGGCAATCAATAAAAAAATTCCACCTACAACAAAAACATGAAACATTTTGTCAAAAAGCATTCAGTTACTACATAAAGAAAATAAGAAATATTTATTTCAAGAAGTAAAAAGATTGAAGACATGAAAATATAGTTGTAGAAGAAAAAAGGACAATTGTAAATATTTAATTGTACTCAAATTAATTCGAAAATAAAACATAATATT